TGACCTCGTGCTGGTCGTCTTTGCGCTCACCTTCCTTTTCAGGCTCTGCCTCCTCCCCTGGCGCCTTAGGCCCCCTTTCCTTTTGTTTGCAGCTCTCACCATCTTTGCAAGCGTTGGCATCTTTTTTTCCTTTTGCGACGACGGCGTCTGCCCCCAGCATGGTTGCGCTGGGGGGTTTGCTTTTCACATTCCCATCCATTTTCGGTCGCTCTCTCTGGCCCTTGGACTTCGAAACCTCTTCGCATTCACTGAGCAAACGCCCCCCTTGAAGCTTCAGCTCGCCCTCCGGTAGCAGCTCCCATTTGCCCCTCAATGTGACTGAGATATCGGCAACTTGTTTGAGCAATTTACCATCGGGATTGGGAGGCGCAAGCTTTGGGTTTCGAACCAGGCACAAGGCCGCGACAGCAGCTACATGAAAACTTGTTTGTACCACCAGCTCCTCGCACTCAATCTCACCTGGACCAGGCGCAAACACATCATGCCCAGCTTTCTTTTGGGCAAGTTCGAGCTCTGCAAGAAGAGGGGTTGTGTTTTCCTCGCCAAACTGCGCAGCCTTCAGCCTCACCAAGGCAGAGCGGAGAGTCTTGAGAGCCTTGCAATCCTTTTCTAGCAGGGCCGTGACGTCAGCCAATTGCCCCACACATCGTAGCCCAACTTTGCGATAGTTCTCCTCATCCGTCAAACTGGGCAGCTTGGCCACTTTGATTTTTTCCATGGAGAGACATCGTTTCTTGTGTGTGCGCTCCATCTCGTCAAGAGCTTCGCAGGCAACCTTCTGGCGAAGAGCCTTGAGCCAGGCACTGGCCTCTTTCAGGCCTGTTTTGCGCAGGTCCTCCTGCCACTCTGCAGTGGAAAGCGCTTCCTGGTAATGCTTGCCGGTCATGTCCAAGGCAGTGGCCAGCTTCAGCTGGTCCCCTGATTGGCTTTGCAAAGTGAGCACCTAGCAGGCACGAAACAAACAGAACGGACCATACAAAAATAAAAACCCAAAAAATCATGAATCATGATGGTATACGTTGAGCGCTTTTGATAGGCCTCGCCTCCAAGAAAGAGGTCACCAAGGGCCTCAGGCTGTGACTCTTGGGAATCTTCATGAGCAATTGTTGCTGGGCACCCTGGTTGAAGGAAGGTGGCGACCCAGCGACGCACTGCTTTGTTACTTCAGCCACCGCTGTCAACCCAGCGGAAAACAAAGCTTGCTGCTTTGAGCGGCAGACGGACAGCATGCGGTCCTCCACAAGTTGCGCCAAGCCAGTATCGACCCACTTCTTGAGTTTGTTTGGAACGATGTCCACCCAGCGCTTGAGTGTTGTAGCGGCGACGTCAAGCTTTTGTTTCTCTTTGAACTTGTCGTTTTGGAGGAAGACAAAATTAGCCATGTCACACAGGGTGGCCGACAAGTCTTTGTATTCACGCAACACAGCCTCAACCTGGCCTGTGGCCGGCCCAGACTCCCAGAACGTGTGCTCAACCAGGCAGGTATGCTTGAGGCCAGACCAAACCTCGTCCAACTCAATGAGCGTCTGACCTGCTTCTTCGGACCCCACCATGCAATCATTGCTCAAGGCGTTGCACAGGAACTGCCTCGTGTTTTCTCAGACATCTCAAAAAGGTATATAACTTCAACAATAGATCCATCTATCTAGGCCTAGGCGTTTGGGTTCCGGGGCTTCGCTAAATGGAGACTGGTCACTTGGGTCAGGCGTCCATAGAACAAAACGACAAAAAGAGGCGCTGATCAACCAGCATTATTATGTAAATCTATGTAATATATATATTACCAAGATTATTATTGTAGTATGCTGCTTTGAGCATAGACTCATAGCCTCATAGTCATAGTCATAGTGTAGCAAAAAAAGAAAACAGAAGAAAATCCTAACAGCGTAACAAAAGAGACCGAATGATCAAGGTGCAAGCGCTGTGCCAAATTTCCCCTCAGCTCTCCTTCAAGCAGTCTCTTGACCTCTGAAGTGAAAGTTGCCTTGTGACCAGCCAAGAGCTCCATGAGGCGGTCATAGGCTCTGCCATGATCTTTGTCTTTACCCTTGCTGCCTTTCAAAGCGCTCACGGACTTTGCACAGGTATCCAGCAGCTTTTGCACTGGAAGCAGGTCATCCTTGATGAGCTTGATTCCCTGTACACAAAATGCATGCGATAAGGCCTGCAACTTGGGCAATTCATCTCCAAGCTCTTTGATAGCAGTCTGCGCAATCTGCTCCTTTTCACCACTTGCGACCCTGGCTGTTGCCAGGTCAACCAAGCTCTGGCCCACAGCATGCTCAGAGAAGAAAACTTGGATGGCCCCCTCAAAGGACCCATGCGAATCCTCTTCTGCCTGTGACTGTTCCATGACTTCGACTGCTGAAGCGGTGGCAGAGATATCGGCCACGTTGAGGAGGCCTGAGGCCACAGAGCACGGCTTCTTCAATGGAGATGCCAAGAAATCATCCTCCCCATACTTGGCACAGGCAGCTACCACAGCTTCACACAGATCCTTAGCCTCGAGAAGCGCTGTCGGTAAGTCAACTTGGCCGGAGGCCATGGCCTGCGCATCTGCTGTCTTGATTGCCTTCAAGCTCAACAAAATCCGGCCTTCAACCTCTGCTGCAACTGACTCGACCAGGCACTGATGACCCAAGGATTGTGCCAAAGGCTTCATCTCTTCACTGGAAGCAGTGAACAAACAACAGTACTGGGCATACTCGCCATACAGGCAGTGCTGGGAAGCTTTGGCCAAAGCATACTTCAACTGGAAACAGCTGCCAAAAGCATCAGAGCTCAGCAAGTCAAAAAAGCCTGAAACATTCTCATAGGCTGCGACCATCTCTGCAGGTGACGCTGAGCTACCTGTCGCGCAAAGTGTGAACCAAGAGTGCAACCTGGCGGAAGCCTGTTCCAACCTGCTTAAGGAAAGCAAGTCCTCCTCAAAGAGAGATTTGTTGTTGCTCTTGTCCATTCGTTTACTGTAATCCCGAGTTTGCCGGCTCAAAATCTTTGCCTCAGAAGCTCGCCTGGTGCATTCCGTCCTAAATGCTGCCTGCGACTGGGCATCTGCTTTTGGCAGGTCATCATCGACCTTGATTTTCAGCAGGGCCTGTTGCCACTCAGACAATTTCTCCTTCAAGTTCCGTAGGGCTCTTTGAGCGCGACCATCGGCCAGTAAGGTACCACTGCTTTCCAAGCTAGCACTGCTTTCTTTGCGTTCAGCCTGCTGCGAGCCTGCGGAACTTGGTTTAGCCTTAGCCTTGGCACTGCCGCCAGTAATGTTTGAGCTATCTATGAACCGGTGTGGTTTTGCTGGCTTCTTGTTTTGGCTGCTCTGTGTTGCAGTTGGCTTGAGTTTGGCTTTGGCGAGGCCTTGACTTGCTTGTTGTTTTTTGCTGGCTGTAGGGCCAAAGCGTCCTGCATGGTTGGAGCCCTCCTCAGAGCTGGACGTCCCTGCGTCATCAGACTTATTGTCGGAAGCTGGAGCGTCAGCGCCATCAGACTTGGCAAGCTCCCCTTTAACCTGGCCAGAGGCCGCGTGCCCCTGGCTTTGGATTGCTGCAAGCAAGCCCGCCATGTCCAGTTCTTCACCCTCAACAGAAGCTTTCTCCCTGGCCTGGGAGCCTTCTTGGAGCTCGCCCAACAGGGCTTTCCTTTTCCTAGCCAAAGATTCTTCAGCAAAAGGAGTTTCGCTGGAATTGTGCACAGTTTCTTGTTCCACTAAGGAAGTATCTTGGTACTCCTCATAATCAAAAACGCCAGCTGCTCCTTTGTTCACCCAGATTCCTTCAACACTTTTACCGAAGACGGCTTCAGTAACAACCTTGGATTGATCAACTGGCCCTCGCTTGCTTTCGTCCCAAGACTCCAAGGACACGAATTGTTTTCGGGGGGCGATAAACTTACCGACCGTTTTCTGCTCGACCTTCAATTCTTTCTTTGCCTCGAGAAGAGCCTTCTTGCTCTGCAATCTCTTGCGGTCTGGTCCAGCTTCATTATGTTGTTTCACCCAAGCCTTGCGAGCCTGCAAAAAACTCTTGTGCTCATTCTCGTTGCCCTTTCTGGACACGAACTTGTAGTAGAAGTCAACTTTCTTGTAGGCTTTGTGAAGACCTTGGATCTGGTGGGGGGACATTGCAAGGAGAGCGCAGTCTAGAGTACACTCCACCCTCCTTGCAATGCCTTGCAAACAGCAAATGGCCTGAAAGGCCAAAGGCACAACGCCAGAGTGTTTCCTAAAGGAAAAGGAACAACAAACTACTGCAAGGCTGGAACAATCGGGGCGTTCTCGAACAGCTGCTTGTTCAACTGCCAACAGTACAAAAACATTGCCAGTGGCCACAACACAAGCCAAGTGACCCAGCGCCCGGTACACATTAAAGCAAACCAGGCAAAGTTTCCCGCTGGGAACCTTGTAGACCTCACCATCGTCTGCGCGAGCCTTCTCGTAGCTTCTCCAGGGCACTCGCCCTTGAACTTCCAAAGACACCTCATCATCCCCATAGGTGAGCGGGGATTCATCTGTGGAAGAAGTGTTGCAGAGCAAGCATTGCCGCGCCTTCCTGAGTGTATATGAAATCCTCGAAGACAAGAGGCTACCTGTGTGGGCTGAGCCCAACTCAGACTCCTCAGCCTTTCGGAAAGCCGTTTGCATTTCCTTTTCCTCAGCGCGTGGCCTTTTTTTGGAAACCCTGGCCTGTGGCCGCTGAGAGTCCGCTGCCTTGGGCGACCCCGCAGCGCTGCTTGAGGAGGACTCAGAAGAGGTGGCAGACATTGCAACCCCAGGTGCTGCGAACCCAACACGTTTTGAACTCTTGAACTATATAACCTAGCTGCGCTAGCATATCATAAAGCCATGCCAACTAAATCAACTGTCGGGGCTGTTGACGCTTGGAAAGAATGCGCGGAAATGTAAAGAAAATGCTATGTTTTGGGAAAAAGTTTTGAGAAATGTTTTGAGATATTTTTGTGTACGGAAAACATACTTTTGTGTACGGAAAACATACTTTTGTGTACGGAAAACTGATTATGTGTACGGAAAAAAGAAGACAATTGTTTCGACCATTGTTCCGAACATTGTTTGGTATTTATCAAAAGGTTCACCAACTTTCTTCCCGAAATCTACTGGAAACGGATTTGGGCGTGGTGGGGCGTTAAGGAAAAAGCTAGGCTCAGGATGCACCCAAACACATTGCACTGTGGCCAGTCATATGGCGTGGCTTTCAGCGCGAACTTTTCACTCTTGGTGAGCCACAAGGTCATCCAACTCTTTCAAGTTCAAGCCTTCAGCAAACTGGCTGAGCTGCACGCCGCCCATGCTGACATGGATTTCCCTCTGGTTGGCGCCCCAACCCTCTGAGGAGAGACCAGCAACCAACCAGCGTTTGAGGCGGAGCTCGCACTCAGCGGCAGTCAACTGACCTGGCGACATGGCTTTTTTGCAGGTCAGGCCAGGCTTGCTTGCGTCCCAATGCAGCACACATATAGCTCCAAAGCCTGTGGGGGTCCTGCTCCCACCAGCATGGATTGGAGCTATCTGAAACGCTGGGCGAGTGCCCCAAACCTTCCCGCGCTTCTGGTTACGCCGCGGTTGGCTGGGAGCTAACCTGGCCAAAGGCCCATCACTGGCCAGAGACACTGGCGGAGGGGCGACTTGCGGCTGTTCAGGCGCGACCCCAGTGCCTGACCCGTCTGACCCCTCTTCTTTGAGTGTGTCATCTGAAGCGTCTGATTGCGAGGAACCGCCCCCATCGTCACAACTCGCATCGCTGCGCTCGTCGGCAGTGACAAGCTTGCCTCGGCCCTTACCCTTACCCTTAGCGAGACCCTTTGGACGGTTGCCTTTGCCTTTGCCTCTGCCAGTACCTACAGGCCTGGGTGTCATCTTGCGCAGCGCGGTCAAAGCCCTTTGCGCCTCTTTCTCCCGCAGTATCTCGGCTTTCAACGCTTGAACGTCAACTGGGCCAGAGGCCAAAATATCAAAGTGATCCAGCCTACTCACAGGGCCCACTTTCAAGACAAACATATCCCAGTCCAAAGCATCTGCGGCCAAGCGCGCACAAAAGGGCACGTCCCCAACCAGAGGCAGCTGTCCGTCCACGCCAAGCGCACAGGCCAACACCTCCAAAACACCAGGCCTCGTGTTTGGCTCTTCTATTCTTTGCAGCTCGACCAGCGCTGCGTCAATTGGTTTCTTTCTCGTGTTGTACGCGACAACAACCTGGCGAGTCGCCCGCAAGCTGGTCGAGGAAAACTGCAGCAGCAAAGGTTCTTGTCCAACATCACTGGCCGCGGGCCCTCTGCGCATGATGACCTCCCTCAAAACATCGAGCAAGGCAGTGAAACACAAGCGCTGCGCGTCGCTCAGCCTGTGGGGGCAACATTCTGGGTCACATGGCGCCCACAAGGGAAACGGCTGCTCAGGCGCGCCGTCAAAACTGTCAGGGCTTTCTGGCCACAAAGACCGTGTGGCCCGCTTGAACTCATCGGCCAGACTGCGCAAGTTGGACAGGTTGGCCTCCACAATGTTCCGGCAAAGCGGAAACCCATGCGGGGTACTCATTTGCCAGAAACCACCTCTGACCTCTGCAGATTCAGCCATGTGAGAAACCTTGTTGGCTTGCAATGCTCTCGATTGGATATTGTCTGCCCTGGCCAGCGTTGCATAGTGCTCGCGCTGTTCCTGACTGAGCAATCGCCACTGGCGAACCAACTCCTTGCTTGGTTTGAGGCCCATCTCCTTGGCAAATATGTGCAAGCCATTTCTCGTCCGCCCTTTTCGCACGCCATGAGCCCAAGTAGGTCTGCACTTTTGGCTCCTCTCTTTTGTCAAGGTTCCATCCTTGAAGCCCCTCTCCTCCCTCCACAATTCGGTCAAATACCGAAAATGATACACTGCGTTCTTTGCAGCCAGGGTTGCCAGTGTGGGTTTGGGACCTTTGCGATCGCACCACCGGCTCAAGCGGGCAAAAGCCCGCTCTATAAATGTGGAAGTGAGGACAACCCGGTCAAAGACCTCGCGCAGAAACGTGAGCGTCTTCTCTTGCAACAAAGCTTCTGGTGTTTGCAGCCAGGCTTTGAGCTTCGCACTGAAACCATCCAAACAACAAGGTAACTCTGCAAAGAAGGCCCGCGCCCGGTCACGCTGTAGACCAGCTTCCAAAAGCGGCACATCATACAATTTCCATGGGTACCTTCGCCAGGGCTCAATGAGCTTCCTGTACATTTGTCCAATGGCAATTAAGATTCCCCGTCGGGTGCCCCGCAATCTCTCCTGAGGCCAACTCAGGACAGGACCATAGGAACCCACCAGCGGTCCCCAGGCAGCATGGACTGTGTCTAGCAACAGCGATCCAAGTTCTGCAGAAGCCTTTGCTGCAGGGTTCAGCACAGGGTTGCAGAAGCTAGCAACGGATGTCAACTCGTCATTCTCACAACGTCGCTCAGAGAGCCAAGTGCCCCTCTTAAACAAGGAGTAGTGAACCACCATGACTGGCGCAGTGAGAACTGACCACATAAGGGTGGCCCACTTGCTTTGTGGGTCTTGCATGAAGTAGGCAGCCTTCCTTTGTCGTTTCCTGGCCAATTTGCGCCAACGCTTTGTCTGATCCAAAGGGACACCCAGCGCGGCGCCTTCATCAGGCGAATCGTCCTCGCTCAACTCGGCCTGAGGCCCTTCAGGGAAACAACGGCCAAAGGCCTGAGGCAGGACATTGGACCACTGCTGCATGGCGCACACCAACGTCAAACAAGGCTGTATTGTTGTCCACTTGTTCAAGGCCGGGACACTCAGCTGGTGAAGGAATGTTTCCTTCACCAGAGCAACAGCCTTCTGTTGCGCCTCCTGCTCTGACCCACAACACCCTTGACAAACATGAGTTGGCGGTCCTTCAGGGGAAAGGGGTCAAGGTCAATGGCCCACGGGAAACTAGGGTTGAAAAAGAACCGTCGTTTGGGGAAACAGCCGAACAGTGAAAACCTACAAACGGTTCAATACATGTCGGTACAACTCCCCTCTTTACACAAACAGCCAAGGGTTTACCCAGTTTCTGGGCGCGAGTGAGAGTTGCAGGAGTTTGCCCGCAAAACAAGGCCAATGCCTGCGCAGCCATCTGCTTTCACTGGATGTTTTCATCAAACCCTAGGCTTACAGTGTGTACAGGCTTACAGCGTATTCCACACATAGATGGCTGCGCAGGGACTACTGTGCGAACGGCCAAACGGCGGACTACCTTCCAACAACTGGCTGCAGTGCGCAACCTGGCCAGAGGCCTGTGATGCCTAGAGCCACCGCTGCCTGCAGTCCGCAACCTGGCCAGAGGCCTAGAGCCAGTCCCGCCGCTGGTACCAAGGGTTGCGATCATACCACTCCTGCGCTGAAGCTCGAGGAGGCGGCTGCAGCGGCCTTGCATTCCAATGCCTTTGGAGCCACATCGCCAAGCCCACGTTGCACCCCAGCGCCAAATCAACCTGAAAGGCAAAGGGCGTCAGTATCACTATAAATCTAAAAGATTTAAGACTCTTAAGACTTTGAAGGTTTCAGGCTTTGGGGCCCAAGCCTAAGAGGCGGTCAAAGAACACAACAAAACG